GACCCCCCCCCCCTCTAAATCCCATTTTTGATGTATAAATATGACAAATGATACATCGTTGTTTACACAATTTTTGACACTACAATATCTCATTGTTGAAAAATATTAAAATTAACTGTCTACTCAATACCGTACAAATAGATGTACTTAGGATTAAACCCACTGTACTCTATGATACCAACTCAGTCATAAGGAAACATTTTTCGATAAACCTAGCCAGGCAAAATTAGGAGAGTTATGCCCGCCCCCTGAGCCCAAAACTTAAGACAGGGTATCGTCATGAAAACTAGTTTTAGAACCCAGGTTTCATGAATGGGGTTATGCAGTTTTGTGGATATCAATATTTGTGTTATAAAATATTACTTTATTTAGTTTATTCAAATTTTCCATTTTTTTAAAACCGTTTAAATCAAAATCTACACAAATGTTAAGATCCCAAAAACGAAACTCGGGAGTTTCGTTCAACGATACTCTTTTAAATTTCGGGCTCTGGATGTTTTAAAGATATTCCTATTATATAGATTAACTAGGTCGGTTGTGAACATTGACTGTTCTTATATCACTGAGTACTTGTGGTGTACATGAGTTCTGTAGAGAGAAATTTAAGTTAGTTTAGTCCTTCTCATATCCTTCTTCAGTTCTCGTCAATATGATATATTGCTCATTGAAATATTGTTGTTCAATTAGTTCCATTCCCGGAGTTATTTTGCACTCTATTCTATGAAATCCATTAAAGAACTAAACCACCCGATTATCTTTGAAGTACTCTTTGACCCCTAGAAGTATGAGTTCGCGGACTGTACAATTCTTGGTGATTTTGCGTACATAAGCTACCTATGTTTATTTATTTATCTATGGTTGAAATCCTGCCAGCTAGAGAGGCATTTGTATTTATTATTATTTTTGTGTTACTTAGAAAGGAAACTTGGTTTCCTTCTCCTAACTTCTATATTTCTGTTCTATATTTTATTTTATATTTAATAATTCTACAATTTAGTTGTTTAAATTACTTCAACACCTGCATTTTGCACTCTGTTGGCCAGGATTGAAAAGTGCAAAAGTTTTCCTTTACTAATAAAATCCTAATTTTTACACTTTGCATTTAAATTACGCACGAGAATTTAACCATTTTGAAAGACCAAAACTGTTACAAGGGATGTTCAATAAGTTTTGCAAAAATAACTTAAAGGTACTTCTAGATGTCTCAGCCCATACAATTCTTAAATAGTATATTGATTTCGGTTCAATTTTCTGACCAGCTAATATCGATCAGATAATTTGTTGTACGCAATTACCTTTCTCCCGGATATTGATTTCGGTTCAATTTTCTGACCAGCTAATATCGATCAGATAATATGTTGTACGCAATTAGCTTTCTCCCGGATTCCGTTATCGATGCTTGTCACAGCCTAAATATCGCATCTACAGACTTTACTTTATCCATTTAAGCGTTGAGTAACCTTAAAAATTCAAATGAGGGAAAGCCTTTATCGTAAAATGGGCCCTTGTAAGTTTTTATAGTTGTAATTTACATTTCCGCAAACAAATTAATATCTTTTCCCGTGACCTCTTTGGAGCAAATGTTGTCCAAATCTTTGCCTTGCGAATTCGAGAAACATTCATTTGTGTCAACTGTTTGTGTTTTTGTGGATTTTCTCCATATCCATGATTATTATCCTCTAATGCATTTCGGATCATGTGAAAATGTCTGCTTTATATTTGGTAAGTTTCAGGCAGCTGTGCATCAATGTGCAAGACCGGGCCGATTTGAAAATGTAGCCCTAAACATTTACATTTTAGAATAAGAAAGAATTATAACGCATTTGTTTTTAGCTCGAGTTTATAATAAATATATTTTTAAAATAATAATTGATTATAGCAGAGAACGTGAACACTTTGGTTCACTGGCTATCCCTAGAGCTTTTTTCTTGATTATAATAATAAAAAGATTAAAGATGATATATTAATTAATCTAATGTCTTAACGTCTGAGGCAACAGAAAACAATTTTTATAAGTTGTATTATATGAAAATAGCATAGATGATTTTTAATACCATATTGCCTTCTAATTGCAGTTCACATACACGCATGGCAAAAAAAAGAATGTGGTTAATCAAATCTATATTTCTGAGAGGATTTCATCTAAAAGGAAATCAGTTTTTGCCACTAAATAAAATTTTACATTTTTTTAATCTAATTGCAACCTGATTGTTCAAACCTTTGATACTTCAAGTTGACACATTTTAATAAAAAATGATGAGACATTTGAGAGACGACTTTAAACAATTTATACTGTCTTATTCCACGAATAGATATATCTACAAAACTATACACAGAAGTCGTATTTATAGTCTTATCCTATGTTGGTAACCCAGTAAGAAAAAAACTAAATTTTGAAATATCAAGGGTCTACGACAACGAGTTGAATAGAGTATTAGGAATATAAAATCAAACTTTGTTGCAAGAACTCAGTTCCATTTACATATATTTAAAGCCATTAACATTTCTAGCCTTAGAGGGCGCTTCGCGCCCATCTTCTAAATTAATTGTGAACATGTTCTCTTTGTGTACATCGTAAAACCAAGCAAAAATAATTCGCGGATTTTCACAAAAAATTTCGTGGATTTTCAAAATTTTAAAAAATTTAATCAAGATCGAATTTTGATGGAGACAAATATTTGAAATTTTGATCATTCATAAACCTTTCCTGGGGTCCCTAGATGTCCCACAAAAAATTTGGGCCCGATCGGTTCAGCCGTTTTGACGTTTATTGGATACAAAAAGACAGACAAACAAACGAACAGACAGACAAGCCAAATTTATAGATAGTTAAATTAACATTATATCATAAAGAACATATTTTAGCCGTAAACCATGGAGTAATTTCTTTTCCCACACATTTTTCTAAACATTACCTTTTAAACCAGATTTTAAAATGGCCTCCTCCAAAGCTTGCACAAATGGCAATGCCTGATTCATACTGACACCCTTACTTAAGTTTAGTCCGATCAAGTAAGAATAAGATATCAATATGTAAATAATTTTAAAAACTGATTTTTTTAAAATATGATTTCTCTACAAAACTAACCTGCTCGTGCATTTCTACTGCAGAAAAAAAGGAATTATTATAATCAAACACTTTTAAACCTAGAAAAAGGACAATGCCTTCCACATTATTGATTAAATTAAGGTTTCAAAGGTACCGTTGTGAACCTGGCTTTGCATGCATGTTTGCACATTATTCCCCGGCTGTATCTACTATCTCCATGATTTTTAAAACCTCCATATTGCACTGATGATCGCGACTAGAAGATGTGATTATGAGAAACAAGAAAAGTTGAATTTGCTTTCCAATACAAAGTGGAACTTTGTTACATTTCAGGAACACACCCCATCAGGGGCGTATTGGGATGGGGGGCCGAGAACCCCAGGCCCCCTAGACGGGCCTCTCCTGACCCTGTTCTAAGCCTATAAATTATCTTTTATATAATATTATGATTATATAATATCTATTCCAACTGATGATTGGGTTAGACCCATGAAACATTTTGTCTTGGAAGAAATATATATTTAAACATCTAAAATGTATATTTAAAAAGAAAAAAGTTGAAAATACTATAATATTATGATATATATATATATATATATATATATATATCCTTATATAAATTCGTTTTATTAACAATTGACATATTATGATATTTATCTAATTCTTTCAATTAGACCTTAATCTTATCTATATATAAATTTGGCTTGTCTGTCTGTCTGTTTGTTTGTCTGTTTGTATCCAATAAACGTCAAAACGACTGAACCGATCGGGCCCAAATTTTTTGTGGGACATCTAGGGACCCCAGGGAAGGTTTAAACGCTTTACCCGAAATACCCTTCTGCTGAACCCTCAAACCTTCAAGCATTTAATTACTTATCAATAAAATACATTATTGAAAGATGTATTTATTTTAATACCGACTGAAAAAATACTATGTTTTTAGCAACCTTCAGCCTACGTTAAAAAAGTAAAGAAAATGTGAGGAGATCAAAAATTAAAAGTTTGAAACATCATAGATTTCACCATCAGGGTTGCAAAGATAAAGGGATTAGAAAATTAAATTTTTTGGGAGTTATTGCAGATCCTTTGTAATACCTTTATTTGTAAATAAACCTAGTTAAATATTTGGACGAATTATTTTATTCTTTTTTTATACGAGAAATGAGATCTTTTGGCGGGATTGGAGTGGGATTTT